GACAAAACATCAAGGTCTTGACTGTTGTTTTGACACACCTGGGAAAAGTGAGTTTCCGGTGAAGAACTGTCAGATTGGCCTGTGGATGCATCTATGGGGTCTTTTCTCGGTTTCAATTGCTGTAGGAGGACTCAGCCCATGGGGTGGGGGTGGGGGAGGCAGTATTAGCCTTAGGCCTGGGCTGTGTGTGAAAGGGAGCTGATGTGAGCATGGGAGCAAGCCAGTAAGCAGCATCTCTCCACAGTTTCTGCTTCAAGTTCCTGCCCTGACTTCTTTCAACCATGGACTGTAACCTACAAGATGAAATAAATCCTTTCCTCCCCAAATTGGATTTGGCCATTTAAGGAAAACTATCTGTGTCCGGCTCAGGGTTCCTGGGACAAAATTCTGAGCAGTTTATTTGCCCCAGAGGGACAGAGGGCAGGGATAAGGGACAAAGACGAGAGATAAGGACAAGGAAGAAGGGGAAGGGAACAAGGGAAAGGGGGCAAGGGTATTTGCCCCAGAGGACAAAGGACTGCCTCTGGACAGAGAGGAGACCGACATACTTCAATACTTTCATAGCTGGACAAGGAAGTAACCAAATAAGGAAATAGACCTTGGTGGCCAGCTTTAGGATTGTAGTCTCTTTGTAAATTGGGAAGAAGAAGGGCAAGGCCAGAACCACGCTCAACACGCTCAAGCTGGCCAGAGATCCTTCAGTCTTTGTGTCCATCACAGCAACAGAAACCAAAGTCGGATGTAAGCCAATCAGATTTTTGCTGAAGGTCTGACAGCATGGGCTTGTAGGCAGAGGTGGGTAGTGTAGAATGGGGAACTGGGCCAAGCACTGAGGGCGATTGGATATCGAGGGGCAGAGGCTGTCGAGGGGCAGAGGCTGTGGGTCAATTCAAGTATCAGGACTCTGCTTAAGAAGGCCTAGGAGAAGTTTTAGGAGCCTGACTTTGAGGCTGGTTTACAAAGAATCGTTATCACTCTTACTGGTGAAGGAGGTTCAATCCCCAGTAGAGCATTAAAACCCCAAACCAAACAGTTCTATTAAACTATTAAAAACTTCCCTGAAGGGGCTGGAGAAATGGCTCAGTGGTTAAGAGCACTGACTGCTCTTCCAGAGGTCCTGAGTTCAATTCCCAGCAACCACATGGTGGCTCGCAGCCATCTATAATGAGACCCGGCGCCCCCTTCTGGCCTGCAGGCACAGATGGAAGGAATGCTGTACATATAATAAATAAATAAATCTTAAAAAAAAAAACTTTAAAAACTTCCCTGAAGAATTAGTGTAAAACCTAAAAGTTAGTTCAAAACCTGCCAGTAGCGCCTTCAGGGACATTATAACCAACTTCTTATGGCCTGCTATACTGAGGAGAAAAAAGGCATTACCCAAAAATGTAAAAAACAAAGCCAGATATAACCCAGACTCTCCTCTGGTGTGAAGGGAAAAAAAAAAAAAAAAAAAAAAAAACCTCAAAACTAAAACACAGTATATCACCTACAATGCCAGCTATAATTACCAGGAAGAGCTGCCATGGTCACTAGAGTTGCCACCTGGGGCTATTATGTGTTTAGATACAACTTAAAAGTCAGTTCCTCAGTTATGCTGCCCCGATGCTAAGTTCTCAGCTACTATAGCTAATGGGTACTGTGATGTATATATAGCACAGATAGACAACAGGTCCATCACTGCAGAAAGATCTGCTGAACAGTCCTGGCTTGGCTCATCTGGAATGACTCTTGAGATAGGGATTCTCTGAGTAGCTCTGACTGTCCTAGAACTCGCTCTGTAGACCAGGGTGGCCTAGAACTCACAGAGCTCTGCCTGCTTTTTGCCTCCTGAGTGCTGGGATTAAAGGTGTGTGCCACTACTGCCTCGGAGGGCTTTGGTGTTTTTATTTGAAGGTTTATTTATTTTGATTTTCTGCATATCAGTGTTTTGCCTGGTTGTGGATTTGTATTTACGTGAGTAGTTGGTACCCACAGAGGGCATCAGTCCCAGATTCCCTGGAACTGGAGTTGCAGATGGCTGGGCATTGAAACTGAACCCTCTGTAAGAGCTGCAAGTGCTCTCAAGCAAGCAAGCCATCTCTCCAGCCCTGGGTCTTTGTTTAAAGAATCATCTTTCAGCTGTTTCAATACTCTGAGATTCTCTTGGATAAATTTGATTCCGTGCCGTGGGAATTCCTTTTCAATTCAAATCAGGTCTCTGAGTGGCAACGTTGATTTCCTGAGCTCTCATAGACAGCCCCTTCCTGTAAATTCCCAAGGAATGGAGGCAACGATCCTTCCTAGGGAAGGATCTAGGGCCTCTCCTGAGGCGAGTGTTACTTATTACTCAGGGAAAGGCTGCAGATGTTGTTCATGGAAAGAAGTCAGAATAACGGCATCTTTGGGGGGTTCTAAGGTGGTGACTGATGTTCATTTCTTGATTAAACACTAGGGCCAGACTTTGAGCTTAGCTGGGGATGTTTGTAAAGGTCAGAGAACATAAAGGATGGGTTTTTTTTTTTTTTTTTAAAAAAAGAGCTATTCCCTTCAAATCTCAAGAGCTGCAGGATAGCAGGAAACCTTATAAAAAGGCAACGAGTAGAGAAACACAAACTTCATGATTAGCTGCTGCAACAGATACCTCAGACATACAGAGGTCAAAGGACACAGAAACAGTGACTATTCCAGGAAAAGTTACTTTTCTGCAAGATCAGACCGTGGCTAGCTGGTGAGCCAGGCAGAGGCAGGTGGATCTGTGAGTTCAAGGATAACCTGTTTTACAGAGTGAGTTCCAGGACAGCCAGGACTACATAGAAAAACCTTGTCTCAGGAAATCAGACACAAGTGATTCTTACCTAGGAGCTGAGGAGTGGGGAAGTGGATCCTACATAGTCCTTTCTCCAAGCTCAGGAGGGTAACTGGATTTCTGGCTATATTAAAATATACAATTTATATACAATTGAAAGTTCACAAATAACATTTATTTATTATTGTGTATGTGTGTGGAGGTCAGAAGAAGACAACTTGTGAGACTCAGTTCTCTCTTTCTACCATGTGAATTCCAGGAACCATACTGGTGGTCAGGCTTGGTGGCAAGCACCTTTACTGCCACCACCACCGTGTGTGTTTGTGTGTGTGTGTGTGTGTGTGTGTGTGTGTATAGCATAGGTTAAAGACTTTTCACCTTTTTGTTTTGTTTTTTTTTGATACAGGGTTTCTCTGTGTAGCCTGGCTGTCCTGGAACTCACTCTGTAGAGCAGGCTGGCCTCAAACTCACAGAGATCCACCTGCCTCTGCCTCTTGAGTGCTGGGATTAAAGGCTTGTGTCACCACACCTGTCTAAGACTTTTCACTTTTAAAAACTGTGTTAAGTGATTATTTCATTGTTGTAAGCCCTTTATTTTGGAGGCAAGGTCTCACTCTGTAGCCCAGGCTGGCCTTGACTGCACGCACAGTGATCCCCCTGCCTCAGGCTCCTGAGTGCTGTGTTTTTAGGCGCGCACCAGCAGTTCTGGTTTGATACAACCCTTTCACATTTAATTGTCACAGAGTTGAGATTTCACTCTTCTCTTGTTGAGAACTAAATGCAGTAAAGTGGATACATCTTAAAGTTCTATCTTGGCAAAATGGTGTCTTCTGGATGAAGATTTGTGCTTAGGTGCTTCCTGTTTGCCCTTCCCCCCAACCACAGGATGAGGGCTATCTGACCTCCGGCTCCATAAGATCTGTTTAGTCTGTCTTCACCTTATCAAAGACAGGCTTACCGGGCTGGGAAGGTGAGTCAGTGGGCAAAGTGCTTCTTGTACAAGTGTGAAGACCTGCATTCCTGTCCTCAGCACCTCTGTAAAAGCTAGCCATAGTGCCACACATCTGTCACCTCGATGCTGGAGGCGGGGCCTTGCCTAGTCACTGAGCTCCCCATTTAGTGAGTGACCCTGTCTCCAAAAGTAAGTTGGAAGGGCCAGAGAGATGACTCAGTGATAGCAGAGAACCCAGGTCCATTTCCCTGCTGTTTGGGAAGTTTGGAACTTTCAGAGTGCAAGCCTTGCTAGAGGAGGTAGGTCACTGGGGGAGGGCTTTGATGGCTTATAGACTCTGTTCTACTCGCAGTTGGCACGATCTCCTTCCCAGGTGTGCTTTAGATGTGATCTCTCTGCTTCCTGTTCCCGCTGCCATGCCTTCCCTGCCATTGTGGACATCTACTCTTCTGCAGTCATAAGCCCGAATAAAGCTTCCTTAGGATGAGTTTGGTTATGGTAGCTGATCACAGCAACAGAAAAGTAACTGGTAAACTTTCAGAGCTCCTGGAGGTCAGGCTGAGCCTCAAACCAATGAAATTACAATCTCTCGGTCAAAACCTAGTCATTGCCATGTTTTAACAGTTCTACTGGACATTCAAGATTGAATGCCACTACTTTCATTTGTTGTGATTCTGCCCTTAACTTCACCCCAAAGTCTTTCAAGAACCACTGATGGGGGGCGGGGGAGGAGAGTCTGGAGAGATAGCTCAGTAGCTAAGAGCATTCTTTGCTCTTGCAGAGGCCCTGGGTTTAGATCCCAGCATTCACATGATAGCTTGCGACCATCTTTAACTCAAGTTCCGGAGGACCCGCCACTGTGGGCGCCAGGCATGCGCAGGGTTTGCGTACAGAACAAGCAGGCAATACATTCATAGACATAAACTTTTAAAAGAAAACCACTGTTGGAAAACATTAAGAGTTGACAGGCAATGCACAAGTCCCTTAGAGCACAAAACATAGCACACATTCTTCTTGATACTGAGTTAAGATAAACCTAGAGATCCCCAAAGTCTCACCCCCCACCCCTGCAACCCCCTTTGGGATTTCATTAAGAAGCCAGTTCACCCCTGGAAATAACTCACTAAAAGCGCCCTTGGTGTGACACCTCCCCTAATTGAGCTCTGGAGGCTTTTTTTTTTTTTTTTTTTTTTTTTACTCCAGAAGACCTTTTCCTCAACCAGAAGCTCCCGGCTCCACCCCTACAGACACAAAGTAGAACAGAGGTAGGTGGGAGACGCCCTGAGCTGGAGAACAGGAGCTGACTCTGGCCCAGCGGGATTCCTGCATGCTTCTCCACGGGATAATGACGGGAGACTAGAAATCAGCTGCGGCTTGCTGCTTCTCCAACTGTAAGTTTCCTAACAAACTTGACTTAAGCCGCCTAGGTGTTAGGGGTGTGCGTGGCTTCCACATTCTATCACAGGACAATTTACAGTGAGAAACCCGCAGGGGAGCTATTCAGGAAGAGGACAGAGCGAGTTCAAGATCAGCCTAGTTAACGTAGTGAGACGTTACATTCAATTTTTCAAAATAAGGTTAAAAAAGAGGGCATGATATATGGTGACATGCACGAGACCCTAACCAATCCCTAGTCAATCACAACATTTAATAATTACGAGAAAAAAGACCCAGTTTTAGTTTTGGAATGTCCAGCTGGAGAGATGACTCAGCGTGTAAAGGCCCTTGCTGCCAAGCCTGGCAGTCTGAGTTTGGTCCCTGGAGCTGCCATAAAGGTGGAAGGAGAGAACCTACCCCACAGAGTTGGTCTCTGGCCTCCACGCGGTCGTCATGTTTGGTTTGTTGTCAATTGTTTGAGCTGGTACATCGCCTGGAATGGATAAGCCCGTGAGTCCACCATTTGCATGATGGGATCTAGGTCGTGGACTTTGATGGGGGCAGACCCAGCTTTAAGTTTACCTTGTAAACTGCTGGTCAGGGTATCTGTTTACCTAGGTAAAGAGCTCCTGACCTCAGCCTCCTTTGTGACCTTTCTTTCTTTGAAACAGGGTCTCTTTAAATTTTTTCTCCTTTTTTTTTTTTTTTTTTTTTTTTTTTTTTTTTTTTTTTTTTTTTTTTTTTTTTTTTTTTTT